AAGTAGCAACAGAAATTTCCAAATATGAAACTTACCATATTGTGTCATAGATTTTACATATTTGAAACGAAATAGATATTTTCGATTGGTAAAAAAAGAAAAAGATCGAAGCTGATCAAATATTGCTCCTAAAGCAGACGTTTTTCAGATATAATGTATATATACATCAGATAAACATGATCTGAGTAATATTAACGGTATAGTTATACATAAGATAAACAACATATAAACAACATTAAAACGGTATAAAACATAATAAACACGGAATGTTTAATACGGTATAAACAGTATGTATATACATAATATATACATAGTGTTTATCTTATGTATATATCTATATACAATAAAAGAAATTTGTGCTAATAAAAAATATGTTTATATACTGTTTATCTTTCGTGTGTGTATATATATATATATATATATATATATATTTATATATATGTACAATACATGGTAGGTGTAATATGCATTACTATATAAGTTCTACATATAAGTATATGTTTATATATTGTTTATTGGGTTATTGCAGAATCAAAAATATGTTTATGTACTGTTTATATTATGTATATATATATATGTATGTACAATAAACGAGAAGTATAAGTATATTGCTTATCCAAAAAGTGTATTTTGATAGATTAACCTCGTGCAAATCAAATATAAAAAATCAATAGAACCAATATCCTTCACTGAAATTCACCCAAGAAATAAGGAAAAAAAAAAAACAAAAAATGCAACACAACATAATGCCAAATAGTACCAACATGGTTCAACTCTCCATACACAAAAAGACAAACAGTACTACTTCAAATTGGGATGTGAGACGAGATCGGGTGCGAGATGTCCTTGCTTCGTCTTCACTTTTGGAGGGTTTGTTCTCGATTTTATTTTCTTTTGTCATTGTTCTTCTCAATTTCACCAGAAATATGGTGCACTACGCTTCTGAGACGTGCTCGTCGGAGAACGGTTCGGGGGTTCTGGGTAACCCGTCGACGTTGGACAACTTCTCGAAAAGACGAACGTCGATGCTGGAGGTTCGTCTTCAATTTCACTAGAAATATGGTGCACTTCGCTACTGAAACGGGCTCGTCGGAGAAGGGTCTGGGGTTCTGGGTAACCCGTCGACTTTGAACGACTGCTCGGAAATACGAACGCGATGCTGGAATCTTCGTTGGCGATAGAGGATTTCAGTTTTCCATTCTTCCAATTTTTGCTGAGAGGATTTCAGTTTTTTTGTGTGTGAGGGATGAGAGATAAAAAAATTCTTTTTTTTTTTTGTGAGAGACAGATGAAGGTTTTTTTTGTGAGATTTATGTGCATAATGAACGAGATATGGAGAGAGAAAACCTTGATTTCTATTCTTTGTTTTACGGTTGAGTATAGGAATGGTGGATATGCACGTTTCTCGAAAATATGGAATAGTTTAATTGAGTGTGGTTTGTTGTTTTTAAATTGACTTAATATTTGCCTTAATGAAATATAATTAAACTCGATTAACGGTTAATCAAATCCTCAATTAACCACCTGACCCCTTTAAATTATTAACAGAACGTATATATGATGAAAAGATTTGCTGCTCGTAAATGTGATATTATATCCACAAGCATTTGTAGAGGGAGTAAATTTCTCAAATAAATATGCTGCGGGTGGATTGTATTGTGTCGTCGATTGAATTAAACTCTATATTTGTTATTCGTGATGGGTCGTTCAAATAGAATGCATGGCTTATAACTTCTCGGGCAAAATTTTATTTTTGGTCCTATAACTTGGCCATAGTTCAAAAAACCACTCTTATATTGACCACTTTTAAACTTGGTCCTATAACTTGTCCATTTTATTATTTTTGGTCCTATTTTATCTGACCCCGGGATTAAAATTTGACGTGGCGTGACTAAATCTAACGTGGCGTGATTCTGGATTAGGTGGCAGGACTAAAAAATGTTGACTCAAGTTCAAACTATCCACGTCTACATTCAAGATTAGGTGGAAATAAAAATAGTAAAAATTAAAACCAAATAAATAAAAGTAAAAAAATGCACGGTGAAGAGGGAGCAAGGCTCGTCGGAGATCGGTCGCGGAGTAAATATCGTGCTCGCCGGGGGTCGGGTCGGTGAACTTCCACTGTGAGGGAGCAAGGCTCGCCGGAGGTCGGTCGCGGAGTAAAGCTCGCGCTCGCCGGAGGTCGGGTCGGAGAACTTCCACTGTGAACGGTGGACGTCGGTCGCCCACCTCCTATAAATTTTTTTGTATCATATTGAAGCTATTCTCGTCCTCGTTCACCTGCTACAATTTCTGGCGAAAATTCCACATGTAAGGCTGTCAAATGCTCTAGTCAAATTTTTAGATCTATAAAATTCCGGTCAAAATCCTCAAATTTTCCGGCGATTCACGGTGACCCACCGAAATCCGAAGATACCTATGAATTTCTCAGACCGTCCTGCACCCAAAGGCGTCCACTATCTCCAGAACTGATAATTTTTTAAGCAGCCCATTTTTTCCGGCGAGTATCGAGAAGAACAAACCGGAGCTCTTGAAGGTGCTGGCCTTGACCGCAGGCGAGGGGGACGGTGGAGGCGGTGCAGCTGGTTGAAGGCTGAACGTGGATTTATTGGCTGAGGATGGTGCTCGACGACGACAACACGGTGGTCGGCTGAAGAGAACATGTTAATGACGATTGGCGATGGGAAACAACAGGGAGTTGTTTCATTGTATAACTCAATGTTTTAAAAACCATACCGGTCATCATACCGGTGTAGCGACCGGTATGCGGTATTACCGGTACGACCGGTATTACCGTCTATTTTACCGGTTTTAATAAATATTAAATTAATTTGTTATTATTATATAAATAATATACAAAACTAACTTTAATTAATATTAAAATAAATTAACGTCTAATAACAATATAAACATATTAAAGTTAAGTGTAGAAATTTTAATTTATATAAATAAAATAATAAAAATCTATTAAAAATATTTTTTTTAAAAAAAATTGGCATAAACCGGTATTTTTACCGGTATTTTGGCCGGTATTTGCCGGTAAAACTGGTATTTTTCGGTACGAAACCGGTATTTTAGCCAAAACGGTATTTTGAGTGTAAATGTACCGGTATTTTAGCCAAAACCGGTATTTTAGCCAAAACGGTATTTCGGTACGAACCGGTATTTAAAACATGGGTATAACTTTTTTATTTTTTCTATTCTTTTATTAAGTGTTGTGGTTTCCACTTTCCACGTCTACATATTTTGTTTTGTTTTTTTTTTTTAATTTTAATTTTTTAGTTTTAATTTTTTGGTCCGTGGAATAATAAGATTATTAAATAAAAGTGAAGTCGCCACATTGGATAAAAATACGCCACGTGACGCCACGTCAAATTTTAATCCCGGGGTTGGATAAAATAGGACCGGAAATGATGAAATAGACAAGTTATATATAAGACCAAGTTTAAAGTGGTCAATATAGGAGTGGGTTTTTGGACTATGGCAAGTTATAGGACCAAAAATAAAATTTTGCCTAAGTTCTCGTAACAATTTTTTTTTTTTTTTTTTTTTTT